TTGCAGTTGAAAGCAGTACGTTTTTTCCTTGTTTTAAAATTGAAACGTGATTTATTTTTTATTATACAATATGGATTTCTTTAGTTTACAAGATAAAACTAATTGCTTATTTTAATTATACTGTTGGAATTGTATTAATTCCACGTTTTATCATAGATAATTATTTCACATTTTTCATTGATTATCATTTTATTTTTTAATCATAATTTAAATTTTATTATATGATATATTACATTTTTATTTTCAAAGATAAATTACATTTTATTATATGATATATTACATTTTTATTTTCAAAGATAAATTACAATTTTTTTATCTTTTTTAACAAAAACTTTCTCTATATATATCCTTTTTTTAAAAAAAAATAACTAATACAAATTGATGTATAAAAAAAATGTTAATATAAAATTTTCACCGATTAAATTTAAATACAAATTGATATATAAAAAAAATAAATCAATTGCCAAAATAAATAATAAAATATTGATCAACATATTCAACATATACAATGAGGAGAACATATATTTATAATTTACAAATAATGTAAATAAAATAATTTAATCTAACCCTTTAAAGCTCGACTTTTTAATATAAAACTAAAAAAAAATTTTATAAAAAATGTTCATTTATATGCACTAAGGATGTAAAATTTTTATTTCGACTTTTATTACATAGTATACAGGTAAAAAAAAAATCATGATGCAATTTGACATCATTGAGCACAATACATGTATAAAAAAATATTTATTTATTTATTATGAAATGTTTTAAAACAATTTCTATCTTGGTTAAAGCATAAATAAATTTCCCATTTTTCACACTTGCGCTAACACATAATTTACACCTTTTTCTAATGTTGAAAGTTTCTGGCCAATGCCCTATATTATCGAATCTAACATCTGATATTATCTTAGGTAACCTTAGATCCTTTTTGTATTTTAGGAGTTTCATTTGATGGTCTCCCTTTTTTCTTTTACTAATTTTACCTGCCATTAATAAAGCAGTAACTATTTGTGATTTAAATGTTATAAGTTTTATAAAAGATTTTTCATTTTTTTTGAAGTAAATGTCTTCGATACAATAACCATGCATTCACAATGCAGGTATCTATCAAATGAAATATTATTCGAAGATAGAACCTTCTACCTTTGATATCTACTTGTAGCATTCCACTAGCATATCGTGTAAATCTAATCCTGCCATTCCTTCATTATATTTTTTAAAATACTAGGCCTATGGATATGGATAAATTTTTTTTCCGTCAAGAATCATCGTCTCACATCTTCCATTGGGTGTCGATACTTTGGAGGATGATATAACGTGAACAAATTTGTTGTCAAACAATTTGACAATGATTATATTATTAGTAATGTCAGTTTTGTAGTCGAAACTACCTCTCCCCAATTTCTTAAGATAACGATCGCTTTTCATATTGCAATCTTTTAAACGATTTGATCGTATGGAACCGATCATATATATGCCCATTTCTTTAAGTCTTATAGATAAAGGTATTAGACAAAAAGAAATTATCAGTATAAATTTTATGATTCTCAAAATTAGGCACGTTTTGAACTAGGCGCATAACAATATCTCCACTTATTAATTGTGTTTGTGTTTTTATAGTTTGCTTTCCTATATACACTTCAAAATCATAAATAATTGCCGAGGCTCAGATGCATGTATTTTCGTAATTGTTCAAAACGTTTTCTAGACATTGTATCCGTTATCTGTGGAAATTTTAATTCCTGAGACCAATATTGGCGATATGATGGGACCTTTACCAATGAATAAAATAAATGAATACCTATGAATTGTTCAATCTCATTTTTATTGGTTTTAAAGATTGGCCATTTTCTTGAACGCAAAATAAATTTGATGATCAACATTATTATCTAATATATCATCATCCAAAAACATTTTAAAATAATGGCGTTGGAATATTATTTGGGGGATTAGAAATTTTTTTATAAAATGTTGTATTAAATGATTCAATATTTTTCAATACCCAATTACTACTTTAAGAATACTAGGACCTTCATGAATATTATCAAGTTCTATATGGAGTGCATTTGTGGGCGAATCTATATCCATATTATCAATGGTATGATTAAAATTATCCTCACTATTATTAATATCTGTTTCGGAAATATCACCTTCAATTATAATTATTTTATTTGACATCTATAAAAAAATAAAATTTATTCAATGTTAATAAAATAAACTTAATAAATTCCCAATGAGTTAATTTGGCATCATAATTTTAAATATATATTTACAAAAATATATAAAATTTAAAAAAAATATAATTCATGATGAGATACTTGAATATTTTATCTTCTTTATAAAATAAACAGTTTTCGGAATTTTCAATTAAAATATATTTAAATAATAGGTAAAATCAAGTAATTTAGAAAAAATCAAAACGGAAATATAGTCAAAAGTTAAAAGACAATAGAATAATAATATAAGAATATTTTTTATTTGATTATTGATAAAATGCGATTGAATACATTCTATATTTATTTAAAATTATTAAATTAAATAATTGAGTGGTTTTAAACGTTAAAAAATGGCATGAAATACGATGATGTCAAAATAGCTCACAGGACTTTAAAGGGTTAATTTTCAATTCTTTAATGATAAAAATGTATACTAGAACATGTAAGAGTATTAAATATATTATTAAAATAATATAATCATACCAACAGTATGAGAGTTTGAAGTCAGAAGCTTTTCAATTTTATTTAATTGGTCTTTGAATTTTTTTATTATAATCACATCATAAGGTGATGTCAAAATAAAATATAGTTAGCTCAATAAAACATAGTAAATTTTCTATATTAATAGTCAATATCTTAAAAAATCAAACACTATTATTCTTTTTACATACCTAATATTTAATTTCTAAAGATAATATTTATTATATGTCAATGAATCAAAATCCTAGAAATGCTTCAAATTTTGATCTCAATAATTAATTATTGTGTCAAAATTTATAATATATATACACTATTAAATCGTAATTGTACACTTCTCCCAATCATGTTACCCATGAATATTTTTATTTATTGTATTTTCATAACTTTTTACTCAATCTCATTCTTTATAATTTGATTATTATATTTATTTGTTTATCCTACATTAATATATTTATAATATTCTAAGTTTGCTTATTTATATATATTTTTCAAAAATGGACACTATAATATTGAATCTTTATATATAGAAATAAACATATTTACAAAAATAAACACACTAAGATAAAATTTATTTAATAAATCTAATGATGTTTGATTTAAAGTTGTTTCTGTTGAATTTGTTGGTGATTCAACAGTATTATTTTTATCCGTTGATTGCTCCATGAAATTATGAATTTTGATACTTCACATTTGAAAAAAGTATTTATTAGAATGGCTCATACTTTCCAAGCCATCTGGCATTGATTGTAGATACAATCTAAAATAATATTTATAGATAAAAAAAATATATTTTACTGGCTTTCAGATGACACCCTTTCCAAAAGAGCCAAAAGTCTTTCACAGTGCATGATAGTCTTTGGTGTAGTTTCTTTAGGACTAAAATTGTCAGTAGTTTTTCTGTCCTTTATCATTGGCTCCGTGAATTTGATATATTCATATGATACAGTTGTATCATGCTGTGGAAACTCTATCTCCATGCTAATAAAAATATAATTTATCACTGTTCATATATATATTTACCTTAAACTAATGGTTGATAAACCATCTAAAACTTATTCTAAAATGATAATAATATCAAATTAATATATTCTAAAATTATATAAATATATTCTAAAATTATATAAATATCAATTAATTTCTAAATGATATAATATATCAATTATATGAGATAAATTTTACTTACAATTTTGTATCCATTTCAAATTTTAGCGCAAAATTAAAAAAGCATAAAAAAATCAAACCAGTTTGCCTTTTCGCTTGCCGTAAAAAAATCCAATTTGCACAATACCATCTAAAATGCACTATTAGCTTTTAAAACGGAGCGTTGCAACGCTCAATTTGTGCGCACTATAACTCCATAATTTAGTAAATCACTTTCGTCGAAATATTCTTTATCACTAATTGCAGAGAGGTGGGGGAATTATAATTATAACTCTTTCTTCAATTGGTTCCTCTTCAAAATGTTGAGCAAACGCTTGTTCAATTGTAATAAAACGATTCATTTAATAATTTTACTAAAAATTTAAATATTTAGAACAAATTATTTTTTCGTATAAGAATCTTGATACTTAATTGTTCATCGATAATTTTGATAATTTCGATTTTAATTGAAACAAAACAGATGCAATAAGAAAAAATAACTTTAAAAAATAAAAATAAAATGTTCAGCAGGGAATAGGTTGCAAATAATTTAAAATTTTTTAATGAATAATTTTAAATATTTGTGAACCGAATATTTGCGAATAATTTCTTATAATTTGATAGAGATAAAAAAATTATAAAAGGATTAAAATCTCATGTTACTCAAAATTTTTTATTATTAATTTCAATAGATATTTTTTGGGTATAAAAATTTTTTTTTTAAATTTTCAGGGGCTCGAGCCACTCCCCTCACATTAGTGGCGGTACTGGTACTAAGTATAATATAAAAAAAATTATAATTCATTATGTTAAAATTGATTTGCTTGTATTTTATAAAATAATTTATACTACTAGATGGTTAAAGGTGCATATATACAGCTGGTTACCTATTAAAATTTTAATTATTTAATTATTTAAAAATTCAAAAATGATTGATAAATATTGATATATATATATATATAAAGAAAATATGCAAACTAGTTTCCAACTAAATAATTTCATAATATGCTCGTGAGATCACTTAGAAAATTTTGCATTTTAAACCTCATTTTCATGTTTTTTTTTACCAGTTTTAAAAGTACAATGTCTGAACTGAACTATATAAAACCTAATTTAATATTTTTTTAAATAAAAACTACTATATTTATAAATGATATATAGGAGATGGTGCTATCGGGTCATGAGAATAATTACTATATGGGTTACCAAAATGGCGGGTCCAGCTGATTTGTATTCAGGGAACACTTTTAAAATGCATTATTATGAACGCATTGTCAGTCTAGGTATTATAATATATCATTGATTCTAACTAACTTTCACTTTCCCTTATTAAGAACCCACTTTTTTTTTTAAATTAAAAAATCAAAATAATCCCATTTTTCTTATTATAATTTTTTTTTTGTCCGTATTTTTATTATATATTCCTTATGGCATTTTTTTTTACATTTTTTCTTTGTAACTTCATAAATTCATTTTAGTGTTGATAAATCACCTAACTCATGACCAATTCCAAAGGCTCTGTAAAGTTTATATCCTAAAGAATTAGTTCCAATATTTAAGTTTAGGTTCAACTTAGAGAAGTTTTCAGTCTATTTTTTTAGGTTAAAATCTTGGCTAAGCTTTACTGGAATTTACTAAAGTTATGTGACATAACAACACAGTAATTCATTTTATATTTTATCTCAAAACACATCATATATATCTTATATTCGCAATACTTTTTGATTTATTTTTTTTTGGATAAAACCTAATATAAAAAACCAATAATCATCTTTATAAGGATTAAAACGATTATACAGTTTTTATTATAAATTTTAATTATTTTAAAAATAGAAGCATTTATCTGCACAATGACTTAACTAATCTTCAGTGAATTTTTCATGTGAATATGAAGTAACCTATATTTCTTACTTATTTTCTTTTTTTTTTTAATTTTAGATTTGTTTCTATTTATATTAATTAAATGTTAATTTTTTAAAAAAACTTAAATATTGCATATTTAAATATTTATTAATCAAAATATTTTTCTATAATTATTTTAATATATATAAAAATGAAATGAAAAGATAGTCTATAATCATAGAATAATCAAATTGGAAAAAAAAAATCCTCTCCCAAAAAGGCGGGGAAGATGAATATTCTAGAAAAATAAAATCAATTTTTTTTACTCTTTTGCATCGCTGAATTTTTATTATTTGGTAATTCCTAAGATTTCTATATATATTTTTTTATGTAATTATATTTTTATAATATTTTGACAAAGGTATACGATTATTTATTTTTAGTGAAACATTATTATAAAATTTTTTTTTTAATAATCCATATTTTTGTTCCATATGCCAGGTAAATCTAATTTTTTATATCCAAATCTGATATCAGTATTGATATCTTCTGAAGTTAACCTTACGGAAACTTTATAGTTTAAATTAAATAAATCCTCATTCCTTCATGCTGCCCCTCTACATATTGCATCGATAAAACGGATTCAGCCTGCTAGATCGCTTATCGGTTCCCATTACCTCTCATCGAACAGTTATGATCTGGATCAAACCGATAGCTATAGAATAAGATGTTCGGGTTTGCCATTCCTTCAATATGAAAGCAATCATTTTTAATCGGAACTGTCAAATCCACATCGCAAAATCTTATATTGATGGAGGAAAGGAGTTACTGCTATGTAGATGCCTCATTTATAACCTCCCACTTAAGTTTTTACCACCTTTGGATCTTCCATGTTCTATATCATAAAACTGTTGTACCCACCGTTTTTGAGCTATTACCGTTTAAAACCCAGGTTAAATATATATGAAGGCCTTGGATGAGATAAAAAGGTTACATAGTAATCTAATTCCTATCGATATTAATCGAATTTGAATAGGGGAAAATAAATATCTTCACTCATTCATTTCCCTCAATAACTATAAGAGGTTTTTTTTTTAATATACCTTAAGCGGAGGCACATACAGATAACGAGTTATTAGCGCATTATTTAGATAGAGATGCACGAAATGAGTGGTCTATAAAATTAGACAAATGTGATAATTACGTTTGATTAAATTGTCTATGTTTACTATAGCATAGTGATCTGCTATACTTTGGCTTGCATTGGAAAATAAAGAAAAAATTGTATATTGACATGTTTCGTTCGCTGTTCACTTTTTCATTTTAGATTCTCTACTCATCATCCTCTAAGCTCATCTATCTCGGACCATTCTAAAATAAAGGAGAGATCATATATTGACATGATCATCCTCATTTATTTTTGGATACTCTTATTTTTATTGATTCTTCCATTTGTTGAAAATGTCAAAGCTATTCTTCCACATTCTAACCCAGGGGTAGCCAGTGTGCTAAATCTTATTGCTATCCTCATCCAAATTTAACAGCTTACACCATTCTAATAATCTCACATATGCTTCAGAAGATAATTCGCTGATCTAAATCTTCAATTAAAAAAGCTCCGAAATGAAGTTAATTTTTTTTTAAATGTCAAAAAGTGTCATTCACCTTACACTTTTTATTGATTTGCCATAAAATAAAGCTTTGTTAATATCATATAATTATCTACATTTAGTTTTTTCTAATGAAAACATTTTATGTTACAATCTTTTTAATCTTATTCATACCCTTTCTAATGTTACAGACGGTGATGCATTAATTTGAGCTTTATTTGTATTTGTTTGTGTTTTAAAAAAAAATAACAAAAATCATTCATAGTCTTTGCCCTTCATTTCATAATTCATTCCACCCATCTAAATAAGGCAAAATCTGATCTCATTGGTCCTTATTCGAGATAATGTATTTTATTATCTACTTTTCTCTTACCCTCAACTACCCCATATCCCATTATTTATTAAATATAAGTAGACTCCTTATCTCCAATCCCTCGACTGTTTTAAGGGCCAAAAATATATCAAAACATATCTGTTACCCTGCACTGACAAATTCACTAATTGCATTAGTTTAAGTACTTCCACACCTTACTAATAATTAATTAGACAATGCCAAGGTTATGTATTATTCTCTCATTCCTAGTGGTGCTCTCATATTTGCATCAATTCCCTTCTGAAATATTTAGGCTTTCATGTATGCTGGGAGAATTCTTCCCTTAATTACCTAAAACTCCGATTTCTAATATCAAAACGTAATTTACACATGTGAGATCTTTATAAAAAAGCAACATACTAGGATAAATTGTCAGGAAAAATATACTGGTACTAAAAAATAGAAAAGCTTGAAAAGAGACTAGAATTAACGATAATCGTATAAAAGCAATCGTTAATCATAATTATGATCAATGGTATACAGAGATAAAGTGCTAATATTTTACACCAGATTGTTAGAAACTAGCAGCAGAAGCCAAAATAAATTATGAAGAATTTCATGCCGATACTTGACGAAACAAAAGTTAAAAAAGAGACCAGAACTAATCGTTAATCCTTTACCAGTTATCGTCGATCATTTACAGAATTAAAGCGCTATTCATTTACAAGAGATTGTTAGAAACAAGCAACAGAAGCTAGGATAAATTTTAAAAAATTTTATGCTAGCACTAGAAGAAACAAAAGTCGGAAAAGAAACTAAAATTAATCGTGAATTGTTTACAAGCAATCGTACTTTCATTATTATACCCTTATATTAGAATAATTTACATATAAAGAAGTAAAATCTCAATATTCATTTTTTTTAAAATAATTCATGATTGTCAAAATTTGTATCCTCATTATGATGAAAGTGGCTTTAAAAAAAACAATTTACCTGGTCATTCGTCGTGTAAAATATTTTAAAAAAAGTTTGTTTTAATTGTAAAGAAATACTTTGGGTAATAATTTTAATATAAAAATAAAGTATGTAATGTTAATAAAGTAAAATGTAACTAGAATAATCGCTATAAATATAGCAAAAATTACAGATAACATGAATGAAAACCTATCATTAGGATTTCCTTAATAAATAAATACGAAAATAAAGATTGCAATAATTTTGTTTGTTGATGAAATATAGTTATAACTTATAAGCAAAAGATTTTATTGATAAAATAATAAATCCATTTTTGTATATGTATAGGCATATGATTAATACAATCCCCAAGATAAATATAAAGTTAAAGCATTTCTAAGATTGATAATCATGATTTCTTTAATATCGATCCATTACAAGTTTATTCTGGTGCCTTTATCAAATACAGTTAATTATATATAGTTATATGTTATGTTTGTTTTAATGGGGTAATGTAAGTATTCGTTATAACGTATGTATAGTAAAAGAAATAAATTATATTAGTGTATACACAATGGAAATTAACAGATATATAATAATAGTCTCTTGTATAATGCTTAATTCTTACCAAAGTATAAATCATAATATATATATTAGTTTCTTAGTGTAAGAATTTATACATAATTTATTTCTAGAAAATTAGAAAAAAACTAAAAATTTTATTAAGATATATAAAAATTGCATTGCCAGCAGCAAAAATAATTTTTTCTTTCTAATCTTTACTAAATATTCTCAAATTTTTTAATTTTACTATTTTCGATAATTTTTTATTATTTTCCTTACAATAAATGCAACATCTTCGGAAGGAAAATTTTTTTTATTATTTTTCTAAATAATCATAATTTTGACTACAGACGCAAGTGTCATTAATTTTATAAGGATTTTACAACACCAGATGGATCTTTTAATTTTTACAAAATAGCGCAATTATTTCTTTTAATCTTAATTATTTTATACAAAGGTCTATTATAATGTAAATAATCCAAATTCGATTGATCTAAAATAAATGTATATTCAACCACCTTCTCACCCTTGTCTTTATAGAAATTATGCCGGATGAACTATTATATTTATTATTAAAATAGCCTTTGGTTTAAATCTAGAGAGATGGCAGACTCAGTGGAATATTGGGGAGAGCATTGGTAATAATATTTAATGAAATCAATGATGGCTACAAATGATAAGTAAAGATGATATCACAAAATAATCTTTCTTTTAAATTCTTAATGATATTTTAAACAATTTATAACATAGATAAAATTTTAACAAATAATTAAAAATATCTTATACTACAAATAATAGGATGATATTAAATTAGAATAACACAGCAAAAATAAAATGTAGTTGGAACAATCTTTGAAGAAGTGAATATTTTCTTCTACTAATACATGTTTAACTTTCAATATATAAAACCACGCCTAAAATAACTCTTTCTCTCATAAATGATAATGGTAGACAATTTAACTTCATTCTATATGATGATTGAGGATAAAAAAATTAACACTGTTCAAATATTAGAGTAACCAAATACACTAAATGAAACGTTTAAA